TGTCCGGAGAGCTGTCATTCTGACGTGGCAAACTCCTCAGCGGGGCTGAAAGCGAAGGCTGTCGAAACACGGGCTCGCAAAGTCCGTAGACCCGATAGCCGGTTCCTGGACGGCTCTGTTGGCGCCACTGAAACAACAGGTTATGTGTGAGGCATATGTTATCTGTGGAGCACAGGTAATATCACCTTCATGCAGCATTGAAGAAAATAAAATATTTGTTCCATTCTCATTTTCGCTAATTACTGTAAATCGCTCATTAATTTAATCGTACATCATCACTCATAAAACATCACCGATCGATAAATCGCATATTTAATCCCACATTAATCATGTATCATTAATCGTAGATAATCAGTCATCACACATCATTCAGCGATCAATCGATCGATCGCACATCAAGCACACATCACTAATCACACATAATCACTCATCACACATCGTTAATCGACCAGTCGCACATGACAAATCGATCGCAGATCATTAATCACACATCAAACATTAGTTGCACGTCACTCATCTTTGCAAAGCGAATACCTTATGCTCGTTTAGCACCATGCACGTTTAACAGCATTCAAGAAAGAATCAATTTATTACTACGGTGCCTGGATTTCAAACTAAATTTGTTTATTTAATAACATTTGTTGCATGAGAACAGTGACAAAAAGTACATAGGCTGACAGAGTAACAAACACTAGTCACATAAATCAGCATGAGTTACCCCAATGTTATGTGGTGTGTTTTTTGTCCAGCCCTCCCAGTTCGTCTCTCGGGAATCCATAAGCAAGGCTAGAAAACAGATTTCAAAAAAAAATATTTCTGAGCACATTCGCATTTGAAAAGACATGACAAAATAAATCAAATTATGCTTAATGAACGAAAATGAACATTTTATTGCAAAGTAAACCACATTTAAATGCGAAACAAACTACTACGCCATCGCGCAGTTTTATACTCTCGTCTGTTATCCTGTATCCTGCTAACCTGCAGAACCACTTGGACTTCCTTGCATACGGTCTCCCTATTGCTTACATCTTTCAACGGTGTGAACACCCGTGGAATAAAAAAGTTATGTTGTATTCAGTTGCACTTTATTAACTTCTGCTATGTAGGTCGCATTTCTGAAAACAAACATTTTAAAGACAAGCATTTTTGATAAATCTGCTAAGCAGTATTAGATGTAAATTCACAATAAACATTTCTTTTCACTCAGATGGAATTCACAAATGCATTATAGCTTCTGTGAAATTCAATCCCGGATAATGCAAAAATAACATTTTTAAAAATGGCTGGCGCGAATAACACCTAAAAAACACATTTGTTGATATAATAAACTGCAAAAATACCTTTCTTTTGAATCCTTTATACCATTCTTAAATAAATTACTTTAAAGAAAATGAAACGGATGCTATTACTGTCATGCTACCACTGTGATCACTAAGTTGCAAAATACTTTATACTTGACAAACTTGTGCTATATGAGGACCACACGTTTGATCGTTCATTATCTGGCGGAGTTTATACCACTTTATAGTCAACTCTACAATTACTCATTTGCCACTTAAATCCAATCTCCTTTTCTGGTATGGCATGTTAATTTTGGATGATTTATCTACTTAAACGTTCCTTAAAACAGTTTTATCTCATCTGGCTGCAATATAAGAATATATACTTACTATTATTGGACTATCCTCTAATCCGCTACTGTGCCTTTTATCCTTTGGTTCCCTTAAACTTCATCGTTTTGCATGATATGCAATTACAATTGGCAGTAGATTGTATGCAGCTAATTTTCCCTAAAATTATATTTTTGTCGATCGATACAACCAAGGATTTTCATACCAGATTCATCCATATTCTTTCTGCGTCAGTTGATTATGACTACGTGTAATTTGATATACTGCTGCGATATATAACACTTTACTATCGGTACAGCATACGTGTTCAATTACAATAAATACTTTTTTCATTCTAGGAGACAGTCAGTGTAATTTATTTGTTCCGAGATTATAATCAGTGAAAGCCTTAATTAAAATTGAGTTCAGATTGTAGATATCAATGGTATGGCGCGATAACTTCGTGATCTGATTAGATCTGATCCATTATTTAACAATGTAACAAGTGGAATCTTCCAGGTTATCCCTAATTACGTAGTTAGGAAACATTTTTTGTATACTTAGCAGTGAACTGTTTGCAAAATCCCTTCTTAAAAACACGTGTAGCAAGACTGAACAGTTTCGCTTTTGACAATACAATAAATAAAAACGCTCTAGTTGTAATATGATTTCGTTATGGAAATATATTTACTACTCAGCAGGCAAATTGCTGATCGTAAATCGCCTTGCACCGCATAGCATTTACTTAAAGCTGATGTTTTTCCAAGATGTAAAAGTCCGCCTAGCAACTTATATGCATAACTGCGCTAGCAGGATTAATGTCACGTCTCTCTGTCGGAGATCTTATCAAATCTATGCGAAGATTGTCGTACACGGAAGAGCAATTTATGTGTTTGGTTATTTCAGAGGACAGCTAGGTAACGCTTTAGCAGTCATGTAAAAGCTATCTATCGAGAAAGCAAAATATTGCCCTGATAGTTCTCTCGATATTAAAATATGCATGAGGATTGGTAGATTACATTGCACTTGTTACAATTATGCTTTAAAGCACTACATTTATTGATGTTGTTTCTTTGTCTGTTCGTTGTTTGTTTAATTAATCTCCAAAAATCAAACCGTTATTGAAATTGAAAATTTGTACTTGAAAACAATAGATCAGTTTGATAGTGTTTCTGGAATAGTTTTTTTTACATAAGTGTACATCTCTATAGATGCACTCAGATGAACTTTGCTAATGATGATAGTGGAGACAAAAAAAGCTTCAACAAACATCCACCAACATAAAAACCGCAAAAAATTCCGGATTAACTGAATCCAGTACTCTCTAAGTACCTTAAAATTTGAATATATCTTTGAAACATAATATTCAGCGTATTTGATATTGTATCAAACCCTTGATAAATGCTTATTTTCCCATGAATGTTTTGAAGTCATATGTCTGAGAATTCCTACATTTTAAAATCATTTGCTAATAACCTTATTTAGATTCAAAAATAAAGAAGGAATTATCAGGTAAAATGAATTGGCGGGCAGAAATTACGTAAAGGCGGCGTCTTGTATGAGACAGATGCAGCTGGGTTAACAGAAAAGGAAATGGCACATAAGCATTTTTTGTTAGTCAGCGCGGATAAATTACTTGCCGACTCATCGTGTTGTGTGAACTAATATGATTTAGCAGTGAAACGAACAACTTTCGAGGCAACCAGGACTCTTTTTCGCTGGCACAACGCATAAAACAAAAGTGCGAAACGTACTTGGGCTAATTACGTTTACCCTTAGGCCCAACGTTTATAGGCAGTGGGCAAGGTCGTATCGAGCGTCATTTGCCGTCAGAACAAATCCAGAAGATTTAAACCCTGCTGATCTCAAACGGTTTGCTCTGCGATGCAGACTTGACGAATTAGAAAGATTGATGAGTATGAAATACCTATTTGGAAAAGCAATTTGCCATGAATTTAGTTGATTATAACATGTTAAACGAGCTGAATTTTGTTAACCTGGCTGACTTTTTTACATTTTAAAATTTTTTCGAATTTGTTTTAGAGAAAGAACGAAATGGCCATGTTGTGGTAGTGGAGTGTAAATCATATTTCGTGCAATGGAGTACAATGGTGCCTCTCATTGGAGGGCTTTATCCTCTAATTCACAATAAAATGTGAATAAATTCAATAACTTTGTCTTTTGCACAACAGCCCTTTGAAGTTTTATTTTAAACATTTGTTCGTTTGGGAAGCGAATGAAAGTTCCCCTTTCCATCTTCCTAATCAGACCATGCATAACTTAGATTATTGGCAGTAATTGCGTTGGAACCTGCGCATGTAAATAGTTTTAATTTAATTATGAAAACGGTATCTGCTTTTCCTTTACCCACTAGCAGTGATCCTGCGACTCTAAAGCGCCGTGATGCAATTAGCTTACAAATAACAGATTTTCATATTAGTAAAATTGGTAAATGCAATAAATTTGTTAACATAATTCCGTGTAACGCAGGGCCTTTTGTACGTTTCGGCTAATTGAGCATATTGTAGACCTACGCATCACAATAAGTGTAAAATAGGGCATTTACGAAATGCGCTTTAATGGCACGTGTTAGTTAAATAGCAATTTCTTGGAAAATAACCTAAGGTATAAGTAGTAAAAGGTCTATTAAAATATACTATTTCGGAAGAAAGATGTCTGCTGGAAAGGCCGATTCCAAAACCTGCTACTTTTTTTTGGCCTAAGCAAGGTCAGCATGCGAAACGTAGATTTTGCTAGTAAGTAGTATGAACAGCATAATTCGAAGAACGCACTTCTTGCAGGATCCAAAGGCCATAATACAGCTATTGGTGCATATGTCCGATGGTAACGTAAGGATGGTGGCAACACGTATTTAAAATGTAAAAAAGACACTAATGAGGATTTTTAAAATATTGAGAATTTGCTGTACATGTACAACACATTAAAGTGTGCAGATGAAGGGAATATATGAAAAGAAGCAACTGACTATGCAACTACCGTTAAAAAAAGTATCATAAGGTTTGTTTATTGACGTATCATTAAGTTCAGAATCGAGTATTTTTTAATGCAAATTTACAAAATCTTAAGCTATCCAGCATATCATTTCCAAGATCGGCTAGAATGGAATTCCATTTTGGTAGCCATTTCTTTAGCATTGTGATTTTCTGATATATATATTTCTAGCAGATATCGCACCTATATTAATTGTGAAGCACTTGTCGGCCTCGGCTGCGTTATAGTTACTTCAAG